TATGTATTTTTTTTTAAGTATGGCAGAGTTGGTACTCCATACCTACCAAAACCCGTTTCAGAAATAAAGCCTGGAGCTCCGACCAGCATATGAGGTATACAGAAACCTGGGTCCACTTTACACCCTGTCCAATTTGATGCTGGTGCTAAAAGATTTCCTTTTTTGTCAAACCAGAGCCAAAGTATAACTTCACATAATGCTCAACATTCCTCATTTTAGGAAAGACAGTGCTTCTTGTAGGAGTTGTCATAAAACACAACTTATTTCTCCTTATTTTATGACTTTATTATCATACTTTTACGACTATATTCCAGTAATTTTTTGAGTAGTTTTCCTTTTACTCTCTCACTCCCTCCTTTCAGAAAAGTGAAACTTTCAGGCTCCTTCATCACTACTTGGCACTCCGAGCTTTCCACGCCACGTTTTTATCAACCCAACTTTAAAGAGGTAAGAAATAAAAAGAAAAAACCCTTAACAACGAAATAAAATAAACAACGAGCTGCTGCTTTAAATTTAACCTGAACACCTCAGTTGATGGGATTTTCCTGCAAACGACTATATTTCAAAGTTCTTTAGTTTCAATCAACTTTTTGCTAGGTTAATTTTTTTATTTTTTTTTCTAATAATAAATCAAAGCACAGCTTATTTTTACTCGTTCCTAACTGTACATTTCATTTGCATATATTTTGTCTATTACAGTCATTTAAATTGGTAACGCATGGGTGAATTGCGATTCTTCTTTCCCTGATTAATTAGATTGTCTAGAAACATTTAGATCGACCTAGATGCATTCTGTCTAGATGTTGCTTTCAGACCTTATTAAAAGCACCTGTATCTGTGCATAAAACAAAACATGTTATATATGTAGGGCTACGCTAAGGCATAAAAAAAAGAAGAAACATATGATTACAGCCTTCTATAGAACTATTAAAACCCACCTGGTTCTGTTGAAATGAAATCTATCTATCTATCTATCTATCTATCTATCTATCTATCTATCTATCTATCTATCTATCTATCTATCTATCTATCT